CAGCTGGGGCTAGACTAGGCTGAAGATAGGAGCCAGTAACTCCATCTGGGTCTCCCACATGAAAAACAGAGACCCCAAGTAGGTGAGCCATCCATCACCTGCTGCCCCTAGGATGTGCATTAGAGGATGCTAGAATTGGAAGCAGAGCTGGGACTTGAATTTGGGCACTCTGATATAGGATGAGGGTATCCTTAGCAGCATCTTAACCACTGAGACAAAACCCCACAAATGTCTACCTTAGGTTACCTTTTTGATGGAAAAATGGCTGAAAGTTTTCTTGACAACAGCTTAGCATTTTAAAAAGGTTTTCCTATCATTTATACATAAAGCAGTATTACAAGGTTTGTCTGTAGTTAGGTAAACAAGAGAGGTAATCAATCACTCAGAGACGAATAGAAGAGTAATCTCTAGTAAACTTTGCCTAGTTCCATTGAACTTCTTTCATCTGTAACTTGACCAAAGGCAAAAAATCTCTAGGAGGTCCTGCTTCATCCTCTTTGACAAATTTTATTAGCTGCTTAGAAGCAAAACACTGGTGTGCTTATGAGATGTGCAGGTGATATATAATTGTATGGAAATAGAAGATACTCATATTTAGAAGAGAAAATAGTCATTAGTATGAAGAACATGCTAACCATCATTAAAAACTTTTATTTGGAAGAATTTGGTTCTGAATAATCTCATGGCAGGATTACTGAGTGGAGAATACACTTCAGGGCAAAAAAGGATAAACTTTCTTATAGCTGGTGTCACAGAAACTTATGCTCATTCTTGTAATGAGTTTCCAGTTACTGAAATCATGGGATGACCACTTCTAAGTAAATTAGTGGTTTTCAATTTTTTTTAAAGATTTATTTATTTGAAAAACACAGTGATAGAGAAGGAGAGACAGATAGATCTTCCATCTGCTGGTTCACTCCCCAATTGGCTGTAATGGCCAGGACGGATGCAGGTTGAAGTCAGGAGCCCAGAATTCCACCAGGGTCTCCTATTTGGGCTGCAGGGGCTGCCATCCTCCACTGCTTTTCCAGGCATATTAGCAGGAAGTTGGACCAGAAGTGGAGCAGCTGGCAGTGGCTTAACCCTCTGTGTGACAACATCAACCTCTCAAACTTGTTTTTAATAGCAAAACCATTGCAGTGAAAAAAAAAAAAAAAAGAAACCCACAAAATCCTTAGCCAGAAGACCAATACACTAAGGCACAAAATTGTTCTAGGTGAAATTCCATATTGTACCTTCTACTAAACTCTGACACTGAACCAGATACTCTCTGAAGTGGTTCACATTTGATTAGTAAAACTGTAATGTCTCAAGATTTATTACTGTTGAATGAGGCCCCAGTTGGGGTGAATGAGATGACCAGTTGGGAATGTGGAAAAAAATCAGATTTACTATATATATAAAATCTCAAAATAAGACATACTTATGGAATGAGAGTAGTATTTGTAACTTTCAAGAGGTTCTCATGTCAATCAGAGCCATGATCAAGAATAATGCCCCCAGATACTGAACTATTTTAAACAATTTAAAAAGATGATGCTAGTATTTTGAGAGGAAAAACAACCAATATCCATACCAACTAATTTAACATATTTGTTTTATCTTCTATGTTTTTATTTAGATCTTATCCACCATGAAAACACACATTTGTTATGGTTACTAACATGTTTCCTAAGATTTAAAAATGTTCTCCACCTAAGTTTGAATGGGTATTTTTATGAATGTCTATAAGCTTCATAATTATTTTTACAGCTACATAAAATGGGGATTTCACAATATATTAAAACAATTTCCCACTGTTGACCATTCACTTCAAACTGGCTCTTTTTTTTTTACTTTATGTATCTTTATATATAGATTTAAAATTTGTTATTATATAGTTTGCTAAGCAAGGGGACTTCAAAGAGTTCATGTAAGGGCCACATTGCTTTTTAATTCTAATTTCCCATTAACTTTAAATTTTTTTTAAGGTTTACCTATTTATTTGAAAGGCAGAGAAGGAGAGGTGAGAAAAACATCTTCCATCTGCTTGTTCATTCCCCTGACTGGGTCAGGCCATTGCCAGTAATCAGGAACTCCACCGGGGTCTTCCACTTGGGTAGCAGGGAGTCCAAGCACTTGGCCACCTTTTGATGCCTTCCCAGGGAGCTGAATCAGAAGTGGAGTGGCCAGGGGCTCAACCTACTATGCTACAATGCTGGCCCAGGCCACAGATTCTTTTAAGAGGATGAATGTCAACATTGCCTTCCAATACCTGACTTTATTTATTTAATTTGTCTGAATCTGTCCTTATTTGGCAATAACAACAACAACAAAATAGCAGTTTCCTTTCCCTGACTGCCTACTAAGTGACAAGGCAAAGTGCTAAGCACTTCAAACAGTTTGCATCTCTTCTCATAACTCTATGCAACTGGTATTTACTATTTCTGTTTTATGGATAAAGAAACTGAAGCTGAGAGAAACAGAGGATATGTATATTTTAAGGTCTCTGCAAAGAATGTAACTCACACTGCCAAATTCTTATTTAAAATATATAAACTTGTATATATTTAAATACAGACAGTTGTTGATGTCATACAGTCAATCACTTGGTCCAGACCAACATTTCCTGAAATAGGTTTGTGACATACTTTGTGGCCTTCAGCACTTCGGCTCAATAGGAAACTATTTTCCTTTAACTATGAATACTATTGTGTTATGCCTTTGGTTTACACTGATGGGCACTTAAAAAGTATACACTATTACATTTATTGTTATGTTGATGAGAATTTCATTTACTGAAACAAAATTTCCCTTAGTGCCAAATCTAAGACCATAAAGAAAAAATAACAGAGCCACAAACATTATGTCTTTAAGCCACCAGCACACTTTTATCTAATGAACAGTGGAATTTTTTTCAAACAAGTTATTTGAAAGGCTGAGTGACAGAGAGAGAATGAAACATAGATACATACAGACAGATGATAGGTCTCTCATCTGCTGGTTCACTCCCTAAACTCCTACAACAGCTGGCTCTAAGCTAGATGAAAACAGCAAGTTGAGAGTGGATTCAAGTCTTCTATGTGGGTGGCAGGGATCTAACATCTTGAGTCATTCCCACTACTTCCCAGGGTGTGCTTTAGGAGGGAATTGGAATCAGGAATGGAGCTGGGACTTGAATCCAGGCATTGCAATATGGGATGTAGGCATCCCAAGCAGCCTTTTAACTGCTATGATAAATGCCTGCTCCAACAATGGGCAAAGTTAAGATTATTTCTTTATTTAGCCACTAGGAACCTCAGAGTATTACAGAAAATCTTTGGTACTCAAAGCATGAACTTTTGTAAACTCATTTTAGTTCTGAACTCAATTACCATCCCTTAACTTCCTCATGCCCTGTTAATTTTGGAATAAACTCTCAGAGTAAAACTCCAATGTTTCCATGTTTATGCTGAAATCTGATTTTTAACTGGTATAACAACACATACAGCAATGTAAAACTTCTGTGAATGCTATAACCTATATCAAAGCAACATAAAATCAAGTTATACCAGGCTTGTACCAGGAAGACAATGTGCCTAAAAACCTGGGTTGCAATCACTTATGAGTTTGGCAACTCATATTAAGGAAACTATTTTAAATTACCCAGACTCACCAATCTTAATTCTTATGTGCATATGTAGTCTTTCAACAAGTAGGGTGTAGGTTCAGAGTTAGGACTTATTTTGTGTTGTAAACAACTGAATTAACCTAACCTGGACCAGTAATATATTAAGTTAATCAGTAGCTCATTTAAGCAGTTGTGTCTTCTTTCTAAATAAATCATAGCTATTTTCTTTTTTTAAGAACCTGTATCTTCACATTTAAAAAATTTAAAGAACATTTCAGCACATATTTGATTCTTACAACATGACTTTAGATTAGTAATACCACACCATTTTACAGATAGAGAAAATGAGTAAGATACTAACAAAGGCAGCTTGTGCTGATGGACTTGGAACCAGAAAAAAGACCTTTATTTCTAGCCTTTCCTGGAGGAAGGCAGGACATGGACTAGAATGACATGTTTTTAATCTTTATTAGAAGATTAACATTGGATAGAAACAAAAACTTTGTTTCAGATAAGAGATGAAATTTGACCTTTACTGTTGAGTGCGAAGAATTGTTCATTAAAGAGTCCATCTCCTGCAGCATAAACACCCTAAGTAAAAATGGGTCTGATCCATTTCAGTTCAATATGACATATGATATATATGATATATTGTCATTTAAATTTTGGTGGGAGAAAATAAAGGTACCAAATTCTAAACCCTTAACTGTGCTACCTATTATGTTTTCTAACTTGTTTATTTTAAAGAGCATCTAGTCACTCTTTGGAGAACTGCAGTTCACTCTAAGACTGCTTATTTTCAGAATATCTGCAATGACAGTGAGTCTCCATGAATTAGTCCTCCACACCAGCTGGCTAGGGACCAGAAGCACAACCTAGCTCCAACCTGGGAGTTCCTCTAAGAGAAAAATATATATATGTTATTTTAATAGATGAGAGTCTCGTCACATTCTGATCTAATTCTCAGTTAAATGTATTCATGTTTCAGTTTTTAGTCTTTTCTAATTATTAAAAATTATACTAATATGTTTCATAATTCTTAAAAAATTTCTCTCTCTAGTATAACAATTTATATTCAGGGAGGTAGAACTCAAATGAATTATATTCAGTAATTCTGTAAAGACTGTTTTCTACTGTAAGCATCTCACTGATATATATTATTAACTTATGTGGAAAGCATGACTTTTAAAATAACTAAGGTAATAAGATATTTATATATCTTCTATATCAAGTATTAATGGGTGACTCTGTTTTATTCTTTTTGGAAAGAAATTTTCATTTTATTCACATTTACTCATTTGCCTGTGCCATGTTTTTGGAACTTAAAAGGAATTAAATGTTCACAAATCACATGAAATAAAATGAAGGTAACCATTTTTTTTTTAAACATTAGAGATTTAAGTGTCCTCACCTGAGGCTGCTGTGGCATTTGTAGGGGTTGAAGCAGCTGCTTGAATCCTAGCATGAGGAGGAATAAGGATGGTAGCCAAAGGTGGATTACTTGACAGTTCTAGAGAAGCAAGACATAAATGTTACTACAGCCCATTCTTAACTTGTTGGTAATAATAAACATAAGATACTATATTAAAATACCAGTTTCACAGAAAAAGAAGATATCATAAACCTACATCTGAAACTAAATCAATAATCTAGTTAATCAACTCAGAGAAAGCTCACAGAAACATTGTAGTACATAATTAAAGCACCACATGCTAATGTTAAGAACTAAAGATATCTTGGGAAATAGCAGTGAACAAAAAGTTTGAGAGTCAGCTTATTAGTAAGATATGTTTTGCTCTTTCACTGACTTACATATACTAGGTTCCCCCACCATCCTCTGGCAGTATTTGGCTACAGGATTTGAGGGTGATCTTGTCACAGCAAAGAGAGTAAGAGTTTGGTCTGTGTGTATCTATATGTGTAAGTATGTAAAACTGAATGTATAACCTACCCAACTGTTTAAGATCTATCTAAATACTCTGGAAATAGGATGTAAGAAACATCTGTTTAAAGTTTCACTGCTTTTGGGCCGGCGCCGTGGCTCACTTGGTTAATCCTCCGCCTGCGGCGCCAGCATCCCATATGGGCGCCGGGTTCTAGTCCCGGTTGCTCCTCTTCCAGTCCAGCTTTCTGCTGTGGCCCGGGAGGGCAGTGGAGGATGGCCCAAGTGCTTGGGCCCCTGCACCCGCATGGGAGACCAGGAAGAAGCACCTGGCTCCTAGCTTCGGATTGGTGCAGCGCTGGTTGTAGCGGCCATTTGAGGGGGTGAACCAACGGAAGGAAGACCTTTCTCTCTGTCTCTCTCACTGTCTGTAACTCTGTCAAATAAAAAAAAAAAAAGTTTTACTGCTTTTATTTAAAAAATGAGAATGTCTTTAATCTTTTTTTAAATATTTATTTATTTATTTAACAGACGGAACCCACTAGCTCTTGCTGCAACAGCCGGAGCTGGGCTGGTCTGAGGCCAGGAGTCAGGAGCCTCCTTCAGGTACTTGAGCCATCCTCTGCTGTTTTCCCAGACACCTTAGCAGACAGCTGGATTGGAAGTAGAGCAGCTGGGACTTGAACTGGCAGCCATATGGAATGCTGGCACTGCAAGCAGTGGCTTTACCTGCTAAGCTACAGTGCTGGCCCCTATTCAAGTCCTTTTTAAAAACTCAGTTAAACTGTCACTTATTGAAAGTTTGATATAGGCTTTTTACCAATTGTGAGAAAAAAGTTGTATCTGTCAACTGAATACAGACTGGCTTTTTTTTTTTTTCCCTTCCCAGAATCAAGTTATGTATAGCAGTTTTAAGAAATTATCTTAAGACAATATTAGACCTAATAATATCCATACATAATAAGTTGTGGTGGTGAGCTTGTTTATATAAGCGTGTGGTGCTAGTGCTAGGTTATGTGACCTCTCAGTTTGCTTGAGATAACCCTAGTTCAAATCTGTCATTCCAGCATTTAACCCGTGAGAACTCATGCTGACTCTAATGTGTCATGGTTTGAAGAAATAATTGTATGACCATACTAATCAGAGGAAGACATTATCCTCTTAGCTACAGATACATTTTGATAATTCAAAGGTATGTCACAAAATAAGGTAAAATAAGATAAAATTCACATAACATAAAACTAGTCATTTTAAAATGTACAATTCAGTGGCATTTAGTACATTCAAAATATTGTACACCCATCACCTCTATCTAGTTCCAAAACATTTTTATCACCCTAGAGGATGTCCCAAATCCATTAAGCAGTCACTTCCAAGTAATTCCTTCTTATAAGCCCTGGCAAGAGCAATAAGTATTTTAGTTCACCTCTATTCTTTTAATTAAAAAACATTATTTTTATTTAAAAGGTGCACGCAAGTGCATGCAAGAGAGAGGCAGAGACAGAGATATGGAGAGATACCTTCTGTCAGCTAGCTGACTCCCAAAATACCTGCAATAGCCAGGGCTGGCTCACACTGAAGCTATTCAGGTGTCATATGTGAGTGGCAGGGACCCATGTACTCAAGCTGTCACTGGCTACCACCCATGGTGTGCATTAGCATGAATCTGGGAATCAGAATTGGAGCCAGGATTCAAAGGTACGCAATCTGAAATGGGATGGTGGTACCCCAAATGGCATTTTAACTGCTGCACCATTAATGCAACTGGCTGCCACTAATGTAGTTTTAAAAATTAAAAAAAAATTTTTTTTACATAAACATTGATTCATTCAACTTGATACCTAAGTATCTAAATCCTATACTAAATTAGATAACTACTGATAACAGATCTGGTAAGGAAAAACAATAAACTTCTGCCAAGATTTATGAAAGATGAACACGAAGAAAAGCTTAAAAGTAATAGTAGAGGCTGGCGCCGCAGCTCAATAGGCTGATCCTCTGCATGCAGCACCGGCACACCAAGTTCTAATCCCGGTCGGGATGCCAGATTCTGTCCCGGTTGACCCTCTTCCTGTCCAGCTCTCTGCTGTGGCCCGGGAATGCAGTGGAGGATGGCCCAAGTGCTTGGGCCCTGCACCCACATGGGAGACCAGGAGAAAGCACCTGGCCCCTGGCTTCGGATCAGCGCGGTGCGCTGGCCACAGTGGCCATTGTGGGGTGAACCAACGGAAAAGGAAGACCTTTCTCTCTGTCTCTCTCACTGTCCACTTTGCCTGTCAAAAACAAAACAAAACAAAAAACAAAGTAATAGTAGACTATTCATTATTGTTTCTCTTTAAAGGATAAAATCATCCAGCTCATCAAGTAACAGTCTTTCCTAAGAAGACAATTGGAAATTCACCACTAATTATCAGGTTCTAAGAGAAGCTGTTTTCTCACAATCAGATTTAGTGGCTGTTTTGGTTCTCAATGAGGAACAGGAAGATCTTCTGCCAAGTTTTGTGTAAATTAGTCCAATTTTAACTCACAATTTTATACCTAGGAAAGCAAGAGAATTCTTTGTAGTTCCATGGTTGTTTCTAGGAATACATAGAGCATTAGTGCAGTATGTTGTGCTCTTCATTAACCTAAAAGGAATTCATTTTTACTATCCCAATTAAAATTAAAAGCTCCTAAAATAGAAAGCCTTCTTAAAAATTCATGTGCCGTCCGGCGCTGTGGCTCACTTGGCTAATCCTCCACCTGCAGCGCCGGCACCCCGGGTTCTAGTCCCGGTTGGGACGCCGGATTCTGTCCCAGTTGTGCCTCTTCCAGTCCAACTCTCTGCTGTGGCCCGGGAAGGCAGTGGAGGATGGCCCAAGAGCTTGGGCCCTGCACCAGCATGGGAGACCAGGAGGAGGCACCTGGCTCCTGGCTTCGATCGGCGCAGCATGCCAGCCGTAGCGGCCATTTGAGGGGGTGAACCAATGGAAGGAAGACCTTTCTCTTTGTCTCTCTCTCTAACTCTGCCTGTCAAAAAAAAAAAAAAAAATCCATGTGCCAATTTATACATCCACCCACATACCTATCCAACTAACAGTATAGCATTAAAGAGTGTGTTAGGGGGCCGGCGCCGCGGCTCACTAGGCTAATCCTCCGCCTGGCGGCACCGGCACACCGGGTTCTATTCCCGATCAGGGCACCGGATTCTGCCCTGGTTGCCCCTCTTCCAGGCCAGCTCTCTGCTGTGGCCAGGGAGTTCAGTGGAGGATGGCCCAAGTGCTTGGGCCCTGCACCCCATGGGAGACCAGGATAAGTACCTGGCTCCTGCCATCGGATCAGCGTTGTGTGCTGGCCGCAGTGCGCCGGCCGTGGCGGCCATTGGAGGGTGAACCAACGGCAAAGGAAGACCTTTCTCTCTGTCTCTCTCTCTCACTGTCCACTCTGCCTGTCAAAAAAAAAAAAATAAATAAAATAAAAAAAAAAAAAAAAAGAGTGTGTTAGATTCCAGGACAGGGAGATAAAAAGATAACTGTCCTTGTCTGATCAACAGAAATAGCAATGAACAACTGAATCAACAAGCTGGCAAGAAAGGTGTTCATCCTTAGTATAGAGATACACACTGAAACTGCTCTCTGGTCATATGCCCAACATCTAAAACAAAACTTGAAAAAAGAAAAGGCTACAGAGATTTTAATATAAGCTCCTGTTAATATAATCTTTAAAATAAACTGGGTATCAGTAGTCTGTGGTTGCTCTCTACAGCCCATGTTGCTCATTTTCTCCTATTCATTTCCACTCTTAGCAGATCAACCATACTTCTGTTCAGCTACACATCTAGTTGAGAGCCCTGAAAGTTTTGTGTCCTAGTCTGGATAAAGGTATATGTATGTGTACACACAGACATACATGCATATACAGGTGCAGGGCTTGGAAAAAAGGAAAGCAAATCCTCCTTTTCCTTAGGTAGTAGATTGTCATTCTGGCCTTGGATGGGGTAAGGAGTAGCTAACGCAGGGAAAGGAAAAAGTGAACAAAATTAGACAGCAAGAAAAGGAGTTCTGAGATCCTGGAGCTTTGCCACACCTAAAAACATAATGGCAGGGGTAGCTTGTGAACTTTTTAAGTGTCAAACGCTCTAAAAGTTAAGAATTCTAAAATGGACAATTACTCCTAATTAGACATTGCTCCAACCTCTATACCCTATTTTCCTTCTTCTTTTCTTTAATTATGGACATTCCTTAAGATCCAATCCTTCTACCTGTTTACTGTTCTGTACTTCAAGAACGGTCAGTATAGTTTTTGTTGACTGTTAACTGTTGTAGTTAAAGAATGCAAAAATGGTAGCATTTTGTACAACAGAAAAATCTAAAAAAGCAGTACTACTTGTCACAATCAGGGAGAATGTATGTATGCTTGAGGCCAACAAGGAATGTATTAGGGATTAAATTTTTTTTTTAAAGATTTATTTATTTATTTGAAAGTCAGTTACACAGAGGAAGAGAGGGAGGAAGGGGGTGGGGAGAGGGAAAAAGATTTTTCATCCACTGGTTCATTCCCCAAATGGCTACAATGACTGGGGCTGGGCCAAGCTGAAGCCAGGAGCCAGGAGACCTCCCACAGGGGTGCAGAGGCCCAAGCACTAGACC